AAGTGTGTCCCAGACCGACTTGATTGCCGCAAAAACAGACCGCATGGAGGCAGGGAGACTTTGATCCCGCCTTCCTTGATTGATCCAGCAGTGGCTGGCTGACGTGGTCCGAGCTTCTCTGACCATCACAACGAAAGCACCAGCCGTCGAGTGGTGCACCCCATTGCAGCCTCATATGAGCATGCATCACAGACCACAGACCCCAGACCACAGACCCCAGACCACAGACACCCAGTCGATTGATATGGTATCGGCAACGAGGACGACGGCGTTGAGTTCAAATGGGAACCATCACGACGATGTGATATGTCTAGGATCGATGCCTAGTACGTGGAGCGCATCAGCATCTATCACAATCGCATTGCCAAGAGCCGCGGCATCCACAAGGACGAGGACATCACCACTGGGCCAAGACTCTAACGACGAAGTAACCTTCTTATTGTCAAGGCCAGGTACGTCTTGTGTGGGCATAGCGAACAGGCGCTGACAAGTTCATAGGTCCAAAAGCAGCAGCTCGACCCCAACAGCACCAACGTCCCCGACTACAGCCGAACGACAAAAAGCGATCCTCACGACAACCGCCCAAAAAGCACAGAGCGAAACGAAAACCACCCCCAATAGTACCGACTGGAAGGTTTACGCGTCTATGGTACGCAGAAGTCGGCTGACTAGGGTTATCTTCGGGCGCCCAGCGGCAAGCTGTGTATGGATGCCTCGATGGAAGCGGACAGCTGCGTTACTGGTCCTGCTCGGCACCGGACGACGGTGGCTCCATCAGACATAAGGAGATACTCTTTCATCCGGAGTTCCAAGGCTTGAGTCAGGACGACATACGCAAGAAGTTGCTACAGAAAATTCATAGGGCAGCGAGAAGGAACGTTCGCGACGAAAGCTGAGGTGCAATCGTTCGCAAATCAATCAATCTTGCAACGCTTCCAGATCTCTCGCCAGCCAAGAAAATGGCCTCCATTTCCGCCAGAACAGCCGTACTCTTCAGCATATAGTGCGTCACAAGATGGAGCACCGTTACGATTGTCTCGGTCACCGCAGCGAGGGATACGTCTGCCTCACCATACGTCGCTCGTCTATTTTCTGCTCGGCTGGCAAGTCGTGTGACAGCATTGACAAAACCGCTGTATTTTGGCCCGTCTGCGCCCTAGTGTTACACGCGTCTTTGGCCTTGGCTTGCCGAGCCCTCTTTGGCAATCTCACCTGTCGCTAACATCGGTGAACCGGGCTGACAGAAAAAGACGGGGTTCCTCCGAAGCAGTGCTCACGGTGACGTCACGTCGGTAGTTGCTGTATTCAGTGGGGAAATTGAACTGGCTACATCGGCGGTGTGTTAGGAACTCGTTGCATAGCCTTTGAGCGGCGTCGGGGACAACGCGCTCGAGCTTCTGTGTCTGCGTGAGAAATAGCTGCCAGCTGCGCACCTGCGAAGAGCTGGTGGCGAGGGTCGAGTGTACCGAAGCCTCTATGTTCATGCAGTCAGTTCGCACCAGCCGAGCGCGTGCCGTGTCGTTCACGACATACGTGCAAGTTGGAGACCATGTGTCGCGGGACAGTCAGCCAGACACTGACCACGTGATGCGCATCAGGGCATATACTCACAAGGGGAATTCAGCAACAAACAAGCCCACTTCGCACAGCTTCTCCCAGTTACTGGCATAGAGTGCACCTTGTCAGGGTTCATTCAAACGATGGGGCATGGAAGGCCAGCCCGAGATATTCCATACCCGTTGGCCAGGAAGTTGCGACTAGTTGCGACGGCAAATGGTGTGCGCGTGCGATGTCACGACTAGATCATCCATCAGCCATATGGCCGTGCTGGGGCAAAATTGGTATCAGGTATCAAGAACTATGTCTCATAGAGGATTCAAGAACCCACTATGCCAGCACTCGACGCATCGGCGGAGGATTCGTTCAGATGACCACTAGAGTTCATGGTGGAATTTCCCTATCATTTTACGTTGAGACATGGAGCACGCGACTGTTCGATTGAAAATCGGGCGTGGCTTCTGACATGGGCAACATCGTGCAGCTACACCATCCGACGAAAGGTGGTTAGGGATTCGCTGCGGGATCTGCTGCAGTAGGCCGTAACAGGCTTATCAGAACTCCTGCGTCAGCTAGCTACCATTGAATGCAGATCGTACGGTACAGTATACGATTATGTTGATGATCAGCGAGAACGTATCACCGACGGGCTACAGTATACGGGAGAGAGAAAAGGCATCGTCCTGGCTCTCTAACGAGATAATGTTAGACAACCCAGCCTGGTTGCCAAGCTGAAGAACAAGGAAGATACAGTAGCAGCACATG